GGGAAGGCGCTGGCCCCAGAGCTCAGGAGCCACAGGTGACAGGCTCGCTTGCACAGACACCCACCTGGGGCCCCATGGAAACTCCTGGAATATGGGCTCAGTCCTAGGGAAAAATCTCTCTTAGACCAGTGGTTCTCAATGGGAGGAGAGGGGACTTTCCCCAGGTGCATTGTCACGACTGGGTGGTGGGTGCTACTCACGACTGGGCATCTCATGGGCGGGGCCCAAAGATGCTGCCAAATACCTACAATGCATAGGACATCTCCACACCCCACAGCAAGGAATTGTCTAGTCCAAAATGTCAGTAGTGCCAGGGTTGAGAAACTCTCTCTAAACAAAGTTCCATTCCTCGCAAACCTCTGACCTACTGCAGAGGGCCTGGAAGGCCTGTGCCCCAGGCACGCCTGGCCTGGTCCAGGCTGCTAGGAGTGACCGGGACTTTCCACCTCAAGCTCCTGGAAGTGGAAACTATGCCGCCCACCCTTCCTGCCCAGGAACTTTCTCCGCTGACCTGCCCAGACCCTGGGCTTCAGCGTCGCTATTCTCTCTGCCCACACTCCCCGCCCTGGGCAGGCCCTCCCTTGGCACAGTACAGGCTGCTGGCCCAGAACCCTGGGAACATTCTTGACCTTTGCTTTGGCTTCCTCCAGCTCTTGGCAGCTTCTTGCTGGCCCTTGATGCCCATGCCCCCGGCCCACCTTGCTGAAGCGCCCATTTTTCCCTCTGCCCCTCCATCTCAGGCTGGCTTTATCTTTGTGCCCTCCCTTGGGGAGTCCTGCTGGGTGCCCTCATCTCCCAGTGGCCAACCCAGAGTGAATGTGGGGCTCCTCTGGCCTGGTTTGGAGCTGCTCTTGGTCTTCTGTTGCCCCAACCTGCTTCCCCACCCAGATGGGAGGGTATGTGGACTCCTTTGGAGCTTTAAATGGAAGCTGGGTGGCCTGTGCTTTCCTCTCCTCCTCCTCCCTGAACCCACAGTGACCTTGAGCAAGGCACTTCCCCTGTCATTGAAATGCGAAGAAGCTGTGCCTCTGCGGCAAACAGCAGAGCGGGTGTTGGGGGGAAGAGGGAGGGAGCCTGTAGGTGGGGGAGGGCGCATCCATTATGCAGATTGTGTGGAGTGCCTTCCCTTCCCCAGCCAGGAAATGCTCTCCCAGGGGCCCTCAAGTCTTCCTTGGCAAGGAGGGCGTGTTCTCAGCAGCCTTGCTTTCTGATGCCCTGAAGCCAGCCATTAACCTGACCATTCCAGGGGAGAAACTCACAGGGTTTTGTCCTTGAGTCAGAAAAGGGCCTTGGCAGAGAAGCCTGAGGCTCTCTCAGGGGCCAGCCCAGAGCCGAGAACCCCTGAGCGTGGTTCTGGAATCTTCAGCTCTGGCCAGTGGGGGCTCTTCCCTGTTGATGTCAAGGACTCTGTGCCCGGCAGGGGTTGGGCACGGGGGTGAGGATGGGGGAGGAACAAGTGCAAAAGGTGCATCGTGGCTTGTGTTCCGCCCTGCTCCTATGTGACCTCTAGCCATATGCTGGACTCCTCTGGGCCACAAGTTCCCAGGTGGGAAAATCCCAAGGCTCCTCGTGTGAGGGTCAGGAGAAGCCTGAGGCTGGTGACTGGGGCCAACCAACCTGCTGGCAGCAGCGTCCCCTACACGGCCACCCTCTTGGGGGGACAGGACAGAGAATGCCTGGGTGGGCCCCGGCTCTCACTGTCACTTAGGAGGTCTGTGGCCCTCGGGGGCATCCCCACCCCTCTGAGCTATCACAGCAATGTGATAGGTAGGACACCTTGCCTGGGGCTCAGCACGGTCCCTACCGCAGACTGAGTTCCACTGGGACAGCAAATCCTGGGTCTGAGGCGCCCACATTCTAGACATCCCCGAGTCAGGGCACAGAAAGAGCCTCGTCCTCCCAGAGTCCTAAAGCTCAGGCTGCTGACTCCCTGGGCTGGGCCCCTCAGGGTCCCTGGCGACCTAAGAAGCAGTTAACCCCTTCACTTCTCCACCGCAGGGAAGTCTGAGGACACAGTGGTTCTATTCAAGCTTTTCCTTGCAAAGGGTCTTATTGGGGCCTGCATCCAGGGCCCGGCCTAGCCCTGGGGCTCTGGAAACACGTGAGCGGCAAAGGCAGGGCAGAATGCCTGACTCTGGCAGCCAAGCCTCCTTGTGATGGTGTCGGTGTCACCACCCCTGCTAGTGGAACCCAATCTGCCTCCCCTTTCCCTGCTGCAGGGACGGGGACTGGAGTACGCTTCCACCTCCCTGGTCACAGGAGCAGGGGAAGCAATCAGCCCAGGAAGCCGTAGCGTTTCCTTCCTTTCTCACCAGCCCATCCGGGCTTGTTGAGAGAGCATGGGCTTGTCCTGTGGAGACTGCAGCTTCTGGATGTGGGAAGGAGAGCCTTGCAGGCAGGGGGCTTCCAGGCTTGGGACACCTGGGCATTCCTGGGCCAGGTACATGCACCCTCCCACTCTGAGAACCCCCAGAGAAGGACTGCAGGGCCCCTGCAGGGCTGCCCTACAGCAGTTCCCAGACCCTCACTCCTTGGGGCTAAGGGAGCAATGTCTCCCACAACCAAGACCCCGGGGAGGAAGAGGAGCAGCCCCCTCCTCCCTCCTGTCCACTGGGTCCCCTCATCCTCCCCTTCATCAAAAGGAGGAAGGTGGCCTGAGACTCAGGCGTGGAGCTTCCTTGGTGCTGAAATCAGAGCGGAGTGTCTGGATCCACCCTGCCCCTGCCCCGCACCCCCTCCCCGCCCCACCACTGAGAATCACCTGCGCTTCCCAGCCCTGAGCAGAGTTGGTGGCAGGCGGGAATGAGGTTTTTCCATGGCCAGCTCCTCAGCCACTGCTTCCCACACCACTGCCACCAGCCCCTCACTAAGGGGCCTCTTGCCCCTCCCTGGTCAAATCCGTTTTCAGGAAAGGACCCAACAAACCTGCAACTCAGAAGCCAAATGAGACCTCTCCCAGGCAGGTCCGCTCTGCGATGGCGGCTCTCATACACCTCATAGAAGCATAAGTTGGCCCCCCCTCACTCCCTACATCCATGTAGATGCCCTTAGCCAAACAGGTCTGGTGTGCGGGGGCAGGAGGGTGGGGGTAGGAGCATCTGGGGGTTGGGGCTGGCTCCGAGTGCTGCGAAGAGTTGACTATGAGCTCTGGAGTCAGACTCAGATCTTGCTCCTTAGCTGTGTGACCTTGGGCAAGCCCCTCAGCCTCTCTGAGCCTCGGGCTCCTCCTCTGTAAGTGGGGCCGTTGGAGGGATGAACTGAGATACACATGGCAAGGTGCCTGGCCCCGAGACTAGCCCCGTAAACAGCACCTGCTGCTCTGACTGAGGGGCAGTTGGAAATGAGGGGGGACTTACAGGCCCAATACCTCATCAGCAGGAGGAGCCCTGGCCCTGTACAAATAGAATGTTGGAAAGCTGTGTTCTGGGTCCAGTTGCAAGACCATCCTGCCCACTTTCGGGGTCACTGAGGCAGAGCTCCCTGGATTATGCTGTGGAGAGCAGGGTGCCCTCTCTGCTCACTGCTGGGCACTCAGAGTCAGGTCCCCAGGGAACTCAGATCAAAATCTGAGGGCAGCCTTGCTGGGTGTCAGCTTTCAGAATTGATTTCTTTCGAAGAACAGGAGGCATGGCCAGGCCAGCTGGCAATGGCTTCAGCCACAGTCCCCCAGTGCCCCATGCTGGGTGATTGATGGTAGGAGCTGTGCCTCCCTGCCAGCCCCCCAAGCCCCATTCCCTGCCGTGGCTCCGACAGGGAACTCCCTGTCATTCTTAGGTGGATCCTGAAACACCGAGTCCACGCTAGACTTGTTCAGCCTCACAGCTGGCCCAGCAGATAGCTTCGATTAGCCCATTTCACAGATGGGACGTGAGGTCTAGAGAGACTCTGCTCTAGCTGAGCTGGGACTCAGATCCTACCCCATGACCTCTGCCAAGGTCCAGGCCCTCTTACCGTCCAACGGGGTCCTTGCCGGTGTCCTCAGCCTCTGCCCTCCAGACCCCAGGTAGCCTGGAGCTCTGCAGATCAGACAGCCTAGTACTGGGAGCCTGGGCCCATACCCCCAGCAGCCCCCAGCCCAGGGGGCCCCCAAGGCTGAACAGCAAGCTCAGGATCATCTTGGCGGCGGGGCAGGCTCAGCTCACACTCAGCCTTGGCAAGTGGCTCCAGAAACTGCTAGTGACGTTGTCTTCAAGTTAAATCTCAGGAGGAAAAGAAAATATGAGGACAACAAAGAGAGGAAGTGGCCTGGGCCGGCCTACCCGGTGGGTCTTGTCCTGCCCCCCAACCACCCTGGCTGGCCCCCACAGGCGCTGCCAACCACACAAGCCAGTTCCTGTCCCTGAGGACTTGGCTCAGGGGACTCTGGGAATGTGGTAGACACAGCGGGTGGCCCCACCAAACGCATCCTTATGGGAACCTGCTCCCTGGGAGCCATGAAAAGAGCGTGGACTTCGAGGTAGGGTCACAGGAAGTGGTCAGGTCCATCTCGGGGGACCTACTGCCCAGCCATACTGCTGGCCGGGAAATGGGGGGCACTTCATGCCTCCTCAGCACCTTCAGCTCAGAGAAGGGAAGGGACTATTCTGGGGTCACACAGCATGCAGCCAGAGGCCGGGACATGGGGAAGTCCTTCATTTCCCCACCCCCACCCACCTCAGATCCTCCAACCAGGGTCTAGCGGCATCCAGGATGCTGGTGGGTAGCTGCACAGCCCAGGCCGCGGGAGGTTGGCCACTCTCACCTGACAGGCCTATGTGGAGCCCTGACCCCTAACTGGGATGCTGGGGGACATTGACCAAGGCACCTCCCCTCTCTGTGCCGGTCTGTCCAGTTGTAGCCTAGACACAGCGTCCCCGGGGCCAAGAGCACGCAGCTAGAGCTGCCCCCATGGGTGGGCAGGGCAGCAAATGAATGAGGGACAGGGAGGGGTTGGGAGGTGGCCAGCCCCCTCCAGCCCCTGGAGGGCACGGGGCAGGAGAGCTGGGCTGAGCCAGCAGGAGCCCAGGGAGCCTGGTCTCTGCCTTCCTATCCTGGAGGAAGGTGAGGCCGAGCCTCCTTCCCTCCCTCCTTCCCTCCCTGCCCCCACTGCACGCGGGGCTGGCTGGGCTCCAGCTGGCCTCCGCATCAATATTTCATCGGCGTCAATAGGAGGCAGCGGGGACAGCCGCTGCGGCAGCACTCGAGCCAGCTCCAGCCCGCAGCTCACAGGGAGATCCAGCTCCGTCCTGCCCGCAGCAGCCCAAGCCTGCACACCCACCATGGATGTCTTCAAGAAGGGCTTCTCCATTGCCAAGGAGGGCGTAGTGGGTGCAGTGGAGAAGACCAAGCAGGGGGTGACGGAAGCAGCTGAGAAGACCAAGGAGGGGGTCATGTATGTAGGTAAGTGGGGCATGGCAGGGTGGGACAGTGTAGTGGCCAGAGGATGAGGTGCCCAATTACCTTTGCCAGACCTTACTCCCCAGCCCCAGGGAGGCATTTTGGGAGGGGGTGAGGCCCTGGCTATTAAGGTGGGGTCTCCAGACTCTGGAGCACCCACAATGCCCTGTGCACACCTATGTGTGTCTGTCTCTGGCCTCCTTGGGGCCTCTGGGTGTCAGAGACCGCAGACAGGGCTGGCTACCTGTCTGTGTATGCACAAAGACATGCCCAAGCACACCAGCCTCCCCTGAGCCTGGAGCCCCTGAAGCTATGAGCAGCCTGTGCTCAGGTGGCCCCCACCCTCTCCACACAGGAGCGGCTGCAGCCAGGCCACGGATCCCCACCCTCCCCAGAGAGAAGGGGTGGGCTGGGGGATGAGACCTAGGCTCAGTGTTCCCTCCCCGGCATCCTCTCCTGGCGCTCTCCGGAGGAGGAAGGGGAGGTCAAACCAATGACTCAGCTCCGGCCTGTCCTGTTGCTGCTTCTGAGGCCCGGCCACACCCAGGCAGGGGCTGGACCCTGGGTCTAGTCAGTGTCCCTACCTCAGGCTTGCTCTCTCTTGTCCCCCACCTTCTGTCCTGTCCCCTTGCCATCCATCCACTTCTTCCAGACACAGCAGGAAGAGGCCCTCTGAAGGGGCTACTGGCCCACAGACACCATCCTCACTCCCGCCCCACCCCGGCCCCCACCGTCCACCCTGCAGCTTGTCCAGCTGTTCTGTTGTGTTTGTCCTGACCGCCCACAACACCTGGAGTGGGGTCTGGGCTGACGGCTCCATTTCCTCCCCAGGAACCAAGACCAAGGAGAATGTTGTACACAGTGTGACCTCAGGTGAGGAGCCTCAGGGCCAGGGGACACGTGGGGGCTGGGACCCCTTGGGCTCCTGCATCCTAGTGCTTGGGCTCAAACCTAGAGTCCTGCCTTACCCCCAACTGGGGTCCCAAGCCCTGCAGACCCTTGCAGATCATGAGGCTAAACTAGGGTGGGTGTCTCCTTACCCCCGACCAGCAGCAGAGGTGCCCTGGAGTCTGAGGGAGCAGGGGAGGGTCCCAGCAGAGCCAGGGCTCTGAGCTCCTAGTAAGGGCCTGCGAGCCTGACTCCAGCAGGCCTGCCTGGGGGCTGGGGCGGAGGCCAGTCAGTGTCCTCCCGCAGTGGCCGAGAAGACCAAGGAGCAGGCCAACGCCGTGAGCGAGGCTGTGGTGAGCAGTGTCAACACTGTGGCCGCCAAGACCGTGGAGGAGGCGGAGAACATCGCGGTCACCTCCGGGGTGGTGCGCAAGGTGAGCCCCAGCCCTCAGACCCTCTCAGTCCTCTCCTGGGCCCAGAGAGGCTGCTGGGTAGAGGCGGCATCACTCCACTCCACACCCCAGGAAACATGACGGGGGGCTGGGGTTGGCTTCAGTTTCAGCACCGAGCACGGTGGGGTCCGTGCTTGCTGTTCGACCTGCATTCGGGTCTGGAATCCCCACAACCACCCCATCGAGGGGACTTGGGGGCCCATCTCATAGACAAGGAAAGTGAGGCTCAAAACCACTCTTTCTGGACGGCTGTCAGCATTTAGGAGACACTACATTTTATAAGTGAAAACAGAGTCCCACATGGTGACAGACAGCCTCCCGGGCAGTGGTCACCAGGCGAGGGGCTGAGTCGCACTCGCCCCGCCCCCAGGGCCCCAGCCTCCCTCCCTGAGCTGGGCGGGGCAGCTGCCTCCTGCTGGGAGCCTCAGGGAAGCAGCGTCCCCTGGTGGTGGGAAAGCAGTGCTGGCTCTGACCCTACCCTCTGCAGCTGCCTTTGTGTATGTGTGTGTGCACGTGTGCTGAGTGAGCATGTGGGTGCATTTGTGTGCGAATGTGTGGGTGTACATATGTGTGAATGTACACATGTGTGTGCGGCCCAATAGCAGACAGCACAGGAGCAGTGGAGCCCTCCCCAGGGACGGGTATCTGCTGGGTGAGTTGTCCCCGCACCTGAGACACAGCAAGCTCTGCTTTATGCATTGTATGCTTATTAGTTCATTTAATAGACACAAAATCCCATGAGACGGTGTGGAAACTAAGGCCCAGAGAGATTAATGTGCCTAGGGTCCCATGGCTAGTTCATGTGAGCTTGGAATCCCCTGAGCAGCCTGTACTCTGAGAGGCCCTGTGGCAGTGCAGGTGCTGGCCTGGGCTAGGATTCCAGCCTGGGGGTGGGGTGGGGAGCAGTGTCCAGCTCTCCTACCTGCTGCAGACCTCCTAGGTGGTGGAGTCTGAGGCTCCCAGCACTGAGAACCTCTGTGTTGGGAGTGGGTGGGTGGAAGGGTGGGGGCTGCCCTACTCCTCTTGGCTCTGGGGCAATGCCGAGGTGTCTGCTTCCAGGGCCAGCACAGGGTCTCCATGTCCTTAGAGCTGGCAGCTGCTCCCTCTCCTAGTTTCCCTTCCTCGTTGTATGACCTCGAGAAGTGAAGGAACCTCTTTGGGCCTCCGTGTCCTCATCTACAAGATAGGGGTGAGAGTGTCAGTCTCCCTGGACTGTGTGATGAGGCAGGGTCATGACCTCCATGAAGCGATTCTCCTGGTCTATGTGAGCACCCAGCAGAGGAAGGTGACCACCATCATCATCATCATGATCATCATCATGTGTCCTGGGCAGAATACATAGAGCCCCAGGAGACCCCTCCCTCCTCACCCCCAGCAAAAGAGACGCTGGGGTGAAGGTGCCCGGGCATTCCTAGTGAATCCTGGAGCAGGGCTAGTGAGCCCTTGGAGCCACCTCAAGGGAGACTCATTTCCTGGTGACACCCAAAAACCAGTCACGACTCATCTCCCAGTGAACTGTGAAAGGCCTCAGCAGGGACTATCTAGCCGCTCACGCCCTTGGCCTCATGATCAGCCTTAGGGCGGCAGGACTCAGCAGGTGGCCACCTGCCCTGCCCCTGGAGAGCCTGGCCAACTCCAGCCAGCACAGCACTGCCCTTTTATGCCCCACTCCGCCAAGGGGCAGGATGGCCCTGGGGCAACACAGAGGTGACAGGATACCCCCCACCAGAGGCAGGTGCTGAGGCCAGAGTGCAGGCCAATCACCAGTGTGGTCCTACATACCCAGCTGTCATGATCTCTCATGCAAGTGTCTGGCTAGCATGGAGTGCAGGAGATAGAAGAAGATGGGAAGTGGGAGAGGATTGTGTAACCTCTGCTGGCCCTGACCAGCCTGAGACCAGAGCCTGTCCAGGAGGCAAAGAGGGACCCATGCTCCTGGGGACTGAAGTGGACCTGGAGCAAGCCTGATCTGATGCCGACATACCCCACCACTTTGAGCTCGAAGGCCCTGAGCTGCATGCCAAGCCTGCCTGGCCTCAGAGTCCCTATGTGAACCCCAATCAGCCTTCCTTGTAGGGCTACTGAGGGTGGGGTCAGACCTGGGGCTTCAGGGGCCTCTGCCTACTCTCACCCCCACTCCCCCCCTCCCCACCCAAGTTCCTCATCAATGAAGCCCAGCTAGGGGCTTCCCAGAGACTGGGGACCAGCTTGAGGGGTGAAGCTGGGCTCCAGGGTACTTGGTGCCCCTGGAAGGCCTCGGCATCATCAGACAGAGCCCCAGATACCATCTGAACTGCACACCCCCAACACCTCCAGCCCCTCCAAGTACAACAAGGCCACGAGGGGCCTCTGCTCCTCCTTGAGGCCGGGGTAGACAAGGCCCTGGTTGCAGGGCAGCTAGGGGTCTCTGCATTCTCCGCATGGTCTCATGCCCCATTTTGTCCCCTACAGGAGGACTTGAAGCCATCTGCCCCTCAACAGGAGGGTGAGGCAGCCAAAGAGAAAGAGGAAGTGGCCGAGGAGGTAGGAGCTGGGCTTCTGGGGTGTACCATGGGGGGGGTTCCTGCGTAGAGACCCCATCCCCCACAGACTCACTGCTTCCCTCCTGGGCTCCCAGGGCCCACCAGACCTTCTGCAGCCCCCACAGGGATTGTGGGCAGGGCTAACCCTGAACCTGAGTGGGAGGTCCCCCTATGGATGACCCCTCAGGCATGAGGCACAGGGGACAACCTTTCCCAGCTGACTCAGGGTGGCCCGTTAGGGCTGGGGCCTGGAGCTGGGTGTGCAGGTCATTCTCTCTCCCAGGTCCAGAGTGGGGGAGACTAGAGGGCTACAGGCCAGCGCGGACGCCCTGAGGAGTGCTCCTCTGCCTTGACACCATCCCCTCCTAGCACAAGGAGCGCCTGCCTTGAGTGACCTGCGGCTGCCCACGCTCCTGCCCTCGTCCCTGGCCACCCTTGGCCTGTCCATCTGTGCTGCTGCACCAACCTCACTGCCCTCCCTCGGCCCCGCCCGCCCTCTGGTTCTTCTGACCCCACATATGCTGCTGTGAATTTTTTTTTTTTTAATGATTCCAAATAAAACTTGAGCCCACTCCTGCCATGCTTCCTCTGGGTGCTGTGTAGCTTGAGGAAGGGTCCCCAGGTCCGCCCAGGAACAGGAGCGGGTTCAGCCTGTTGATAGGACCAAGTATCCCACAGGGACACACACACGGCATTCATGGGACCTGTGAGAGCAGGCGCTGCCTTCAGCAACACCCCCAACCCACCCATTGCCTTTAACATGGAGGAGGCAGCACTGCCTTCGGCTTCCCAAGACATTCGACAGGACTCACAATCCCATCCACAGGACAGCTTAGCTCAGCCTCAGGGTAGCCCCCGCCTGCCTGCTCTGCATCCCTGAGGAACCCACTGTCAGCAGGAGGCGAAGATAGGCTCCTGGGCCTTCCCTCCATGTGCGGCCTGGGCTCCAGGGTCGCATGAGGAACAGGGCCACCTAACATCTTCCCTAAGGCAGACGATAACTTTCAAAGATGGAGAAGTCTAAACCCAGTGAGGATCCCAGGAGAGACAGGAGGTGACCCTGTGGCGCCTCCCACCTGGCCCCACCCAGTCTCACGCTCCCCCCTGGACCTTGAGCTGGGTACCCCTTGCACCCCTGCTGCACCCAGAAGCCTGCCACGTGCCACTAAAAACACAACAGCGGAGATGCACGAGGCTGCACCTTGAAAGAAAAGTGGTAAAAAGCAACAGCTGCTGAGTTCCTCGCAGGCGTTGCCTGGGCATTGTTCTGAGCACTTCACCTTATTTAATCCTCAGAACAAACCTCTCAGGTTAGAGCTGTAGATCCAGGTTTTGCTGAGAAGCACAGGACTGGGCAGAAGCCCAGGTGGCTCGCCAGCCCTGCTATGGCTGCATGGGCCCCAAGGTGCTTACGGTGGATTGCCCCCAATCCAAGGTTTCAAAACAACCCAGGGCCCGCTGGCCAGTGGCCTACATGAAGGGCTGTTTGCCCAGCCCACTCTGAGCAAGCCCTTCATATAAGCCACTGGCCAGCAGGCCCTGCATTGTTTTGAAACCTTGCACGCCGGGCAGGCTTGTTCAGACCAGAGTTCCCTCGACATCCCGCCTTCCCCTTTGATACTCAGATGCATTTCATCTGAGTTTGGGCTCAGAGCATTTCAGTGGCTTGCCCCAGGCCTTCAGGCCTGGGTGTTGGGGCGAGAGCTTGAGTCCGTCCACATGTGACTTCAGACACTGCCCTGTCCACACCGCCTCCCCATCCAGCCTCTGCAGTGGATTCAAGGGCAGCCCAGGAGGCTGGGAGCCCAGTCAGACCCAGCCGAGTCAGGCTGTATCTACTGTCTGGCCATGGGCATCCACTGAGGAGGCAGAATGGAGCAGGGGGCTGCTGGTCTCCACACCCCCAAACCCTGCCAAAGGCAGGCATGAAGGGTCTGGAAGCAGCTCAGGGCAGTCAGGGCTGTTCCTCCTCCCCAGTCCAGACATGTGCACATAAGCAGGCGTGTATGAACCCCAGGAGGAGGCCACCTGGGGCCTGGGTGTGCCCGAGAGTCCTCTGGGCTGTGAAGAAAGCAAGGAGAAGCAAGGCTGGTCAGCTGATAGGGGTGAGGGAGAGGGCACCTATGCCAGGCTCCCAGCGACAGCTTTCCCCAGGCTCCAGCGCCCTCTGCCTCTGCTGGAGGAGCCCAGAGGGATCCCTGGTGCCCCTACCACAGCACCCCCACAACCCCCTCTCACATACACTCAGGGCTTGTTCCTGGACTCAAATGACCAACATCACCAGGAAGCCCCTTCCCAGCCATGGGCACTGGCAGTGCTCTTTGCCTTTGAACCCTCATGTGCTCTGCACCCTGTGAGGCTGCTTTTGACCTCCCTGTGGGAGCACAGTCAACTCCCCTTATCCACTAGGATACACCCAAGATGTTTCCAGCTGCCTGCAATCCCAGATAGTACCAAGGTAGCCTACATATAACGTGTCTTCCTACACATACACATGTGCTTCGCTATAATGAAGTTTATACATTAGGCACATTAAGAGACTAACAATAACCGATAAGAAAATGGAACAATTATAACAATATACTGTAATAAAAGTTATTTAAAACATGAATTGTTTATTTCTAGAATTTTCTTTTTCTTTCTTTTTTTTTTGAGATGGAGTCTCACTCTGTCATCCAGGCTGGAATAGTGGCGTGATCTCTGCTCACTGCAACCTTCGCCTCCCGGGTTCAAGTGATTCTCCTGCCTCAGCCTCCCAAGTAGCTGGGACTATAGGTGTGCACCACCACGCCCGGCTGATTTTGGTATTTTTAGTAGACAGGGTTTCACCGTGTTGGCTAGGCTGGTCTCAAACTCCTGACCTCAAGCTATCCATCCGCCTCAGTTTCCCAAAGTGCTGGGATTACAGGCGTGAGCCATCATGACCAGCTATTTCTGGAATTTTCCATTTGACATTTTGGACCTTACCAATTGCGGTGCAGGGGCCAAGGGAAAACTTTCCCTTTACCCTCTGAAGGTTCACTGAAAAGTCAGCTCATAAAAGCAGATTAGAAATGGAATACACATTCACTAACATGCATGGGGGAAATCAGAGTGACTGCCCCACCACGAAATGGGGTACAGATGCAATGGGGAAGTGTGGGTGATTTCAGGGGGCCAGTAAATGATTTTCAGGGCAATTCAGTGGGTTTGAAGAACACTCGGTGGCCTGGAACAAAGTCTGTTCGGCTCACACAGCAGACAACGGTTTGCAAAACCTGTCCAGGTGTGTGAGCAGGCTTCAGTCTTTCTCCCTATAACATGAGTTCAGTCAGAGGAAACTCTGGGAAGGGACCAGGGGTCATTGTTTTCTTCTTTGGTGGGTCCAGACTTTAGGCAGATGAGGGACTTCATGGAACAACTTCACCGTATGATTTGGAAGAGACAAAGGGTTGAGGGGCCTGGGGGAGCCTGGTCGGAGAGACCTTAAGGCTTCTTCAGTTCAGAATGTCACAGCACTATATATTGGGGTATTGGTTTCTGAGCCCCAACAATGGGTAACTGAAACTGCAGAAAGTGAAATCACAAATTAGCTGGGCATGGTGCACGCCTGTAATCCCAGCTACTCAGGAGGCTGAGGCAGAACCGCTTGAACTTGGAAGGCAGAGGTTGCAGTGAGTTGAGATCCTGCCATTGCACTCCAGCCTGGGCGACAAGAGCAAAACTCTGTCTCCAAAAAGAAAAAACAGAAAAAAAAAAAGTGACACCACAGCAAATGGGGGTGGGGGGGCAATGGTAATTTGGTCATGTGCTTCCTCCTTCAGCCTGGCCTTGTCTGAGAAGCCCCGGTGCCCTGGACCCTCTTACAAAGTCCACTGCCGAGTGCTGGGCACCCTTCAGCTCATTTAATCTTCACAAACACACTTTGGGGAGATGCTGTGATGTAATGGGGACGCTGAGGCTCAGAGAGGTAAGGGGCTTGCTCTAAGAGTATATGAACCCAGGAGGTTTGACTGCAGTGCCTGCCACTAAGGCCACACAGAGCTATCTCTACCATCATCTGCTGGGGACTGGCTGTCTCTCCCCACAGAGGCTGCTCCCTTCCTGTCCACCTCACAGCTCATTGTCCATGGGACCCGGAGCCCAGTGGCACCAGCAGCCTGTGATAAACTGGAGCGCTCAAAGGCGTGCCTGGCTATTGGACACTACTGGTGGGATTCAGGAGGGCTGGCAGGGCTGCAGCTGGCCAGGCAGGGCAGGACTGAGCTGGGCTCCCCAGAGTGCCCCAGGCATCGATCTGGCCACTCCCAGGTCAAGGCCAGGCTCTGGTCGAGGAGGGGCGGGGGCTGGGAGGACCGTTGTTGCCACTTTGTTTTGCCTGAGACCTGCTCCCTCCCCTTTCCTCCACCTAATCTCATGGCTTGCCTCTTCCCTTTGCCCAGGGTTGACTTTATCTCCATTAATCCATACCCAGGGTGTGTGTGTGTGTGTGTGTGTGTGTGTGTATGTGTACAGGTGCACTTCCAGACACCTCCCTCTAGGGGCTGACCCTGCACCACTAGAAGCAGGGTATGTGCCAGCAGACCGGGCCTGGGTGGCAGGGGCTTCCCAGCGCTCCAGAATAGGGGAGACACCAGCAGAGGTGCAAGAAACAGCCCCAGACAGGAAGCGTTAGAGAGACCCAGAGAGGCAGGGTGGGTGAGCACTGGTCTCCAGGTCCTGAAGACCGACTCTGGAATGGGAGTACACCCAGCTTGGTGGGGCCTGACCTGCGCCCCCTTGTATGCCAGGGGAATGTATCTCGCAGGCTATTTTGCTGCCCCCAGGGATGACCTTCTCCACTCTGGCCCAGGTCCCTAAGTCCCCTCCTAACAGTCACAAGTTGTACCCTAGAGCCTTGCCTGCCCCATCTCAGGAAAGGTGACCTGAAAGGCCCAAGCTTATTCCTGCCCTCCCTGAGCCATGCTTTCTGCCCAGCTTCCTCAGGCTTCAGTGACTGATGGCAGTCTCCTCGCCTGGGCTGCACAGGCACACTGCCCTCTTCCCCTTGGGGTTGCATGGTCTGCAGGTGCACACTCCTATGTCTCGCCCTCTCAGGGGAAGGATTTACCAGGCCCTCTCCGTCTGCATCCACTGGATTTCAGTGGCTACAGGCAGATGGCCAGTCAGCAGTGCCCCTGCAGGTGTTTGGGGCTGGGGGCGCTGACATTGCCAGAGCCCTAGGGTTGACAGGCACCTAGGCAGATTCGAGGATCCAAGTCCCTGCCACGTGAGTTTGGGTGAGGCGGACCTCGTTGCCTCAGTTTCCTCCTATACACTGATGCTATTAATAAAAATACCGATTTCAGGAGGTGGTTGTAAAGATTATACAAGAGACTGCAGAGTGTTAGGCAGCGCCTGGCACAAGACAAATGCTCAGTAAAAGACCGCTGCTGTCATTAATGTCAACACCAGCCCTGAGCTCCTGCCCTGGAGCTGACCCAGTGCTCACGCCCAAGATAAGAAAGGGAGGGCTGGGGCTGATGAGCTGGGAGAAGGTGTGCGCCCTTCTCCTGCCCCCAGCTCCTCTCTGGACCCCTGTCCTAACCCCTCCTCGGTCCCTGGTTCCGTCTGCCCCTTTCCCACGGCGGCCCGTCCTCAGCCCGTCTTGGGCCAGGATGTGCTCCCTGGCCTGCGGACTCTGGAGCAGGGCCCGGCCACTCCCCGGAGCCTGTATGACGGGAACCGCCCCGCGTCCTCTCCCCTACGCGGGGCAGGCCGGCCCTGGGGCGCCTTAAAAACCGGAGCTGGCACTTGGCAGCGCCACTCTGGGCTGGATCCAACGTCGCTCCGGCTGCTCTTGACGACTCCACAGATTCCCCGAAGCTATGGCCAGCAAGGGCTTGCAGGACCTGAAGCAACAGGTGGAGGGGACCGCCCAGGAAGCCGGTGAGTACAGCGCGCGACCTAGGGCCCAGGCAGGGGCAGCTGCGTGGACGCGCAGGCAGAAGCGGCGGCTCTGCGCGGTTGGCAAGTTCGCTGACCGGCAGCTTGGCTCGGAAGGCTCGGTCCTCCACTGAGACGCAGGGGCGGGTAGGACGCCCACCCCGGTCTGCGGAGAGATGATGCCCGGAGACAGGCAGCGGAACAGAGGCTCCAGAGGAGCCGGAGCCGCGCTGCGGGCACTGCGGGAGCCCCTCAGAGGAGGACATGCCGGCGCTGGGCGGCCCCACCCAGGCCCTCAGGCAAGGGTGAAGGTCCAGGTCCAGGTCCAGGACCAGGACCGGGGGCGGCCCGCCACCACCTCCACCCGCGCCCGCCACCAGAGTCTGCCCCAGACCCCAAAGGGCTTTGTTTCCATTCCATCTCCAACCCCGAAAAGTAATCGTCGCCTTACCAGTCCCCATCTGGCAAAGAAGGTCCTTAGTTCCTCCACCTCCAGCTCTCTCCTCCTTATTCTGGAGGTGACTCAGCTGCAGTGGGGGCACGGGAGATGTGAGACCACTGCCTCACTGGGTGGGCTCTTCCTGTACCTAGCCCAGCCTTCCTCAGGACTACAGTTCCTTATCAGTCCTGCCCATATCCCAGTCAGGAGACAATATCCAAACCAACCCCTTCCTTCACCAGTGCCCCAGGGGGAGGCCCACAGTTCTTCCCTTGAGACTAAAGCCTCCGTGTCAGCTCCTTTCCTTCTGGGCTTCACTTTTCCATTTGAGAGCTGGGTGCAAAGGATGGGCTGCTTTCTGATGGGTTAAATTGAGAGGAGGTCCCCAGGGGCCTCTCAGCACACTTGCCTCACTAACCCTCTCCGAAGGATGGGGTCTGGATAAGGCAGGCCCCTTCCTGTTCAGCAGCAGGGACGAGTTACCGCTCTGCAGGCCGGAGCCACCTGTCAGCCCACCGGGGGCTGGTGACTCCATTCCCGGCAGGTGGAACTGTGGTCCAGAGGAGATGGCCAGCCTTGGAAGTTTTGCCTCCTTCCTGCACTTGTCTCCTAATGCCTTGAGCTGCCTGTCCACAGAGGCAGTGGCTTTGCTTGTGTGCCGTCCGGGGCAGGCCACAGGAGGGAGGAGGCAGTGAGAACCTGGCAAAAGTCCAAGCCCCAGGGCCAAGTGCATGAAAGATGGGAATTCAGGCATCTGGGCCAGGCTTCTAGCCAAGAAGCTGTAAAAGGGGGCAGGGGTCTTCTGGGCTATGCCCAGCATTAGCCAACAGTCCAGATGCTAGCTGCAGCCTGGCCCTGCCCTGCCTGCCTTCCTCTGTCCAACGTTTTCTCAGCAGCCCTGGAGATGGAAAGGGAAGCTCCTCCCCCACAGAGGAGGAGCTCAGAGTTAGAAATCAACAAAAACATCCCAGAGGCATGGAAAGGGCGGCCCTCGGGCTGGGCGGCCCTGGGCCAGAGACTTCATCTCCATGGCATCCATCCCTTGAACCTGTACCACCGAATACTCTGGAGAACACATGAGGGGCATGGCAATGGTGGGGTACCTGTGGTCAGTGATGCCTCAACAGGGGCTAAAAGCCACATCTCTCTGTTCCAGTGTCAGCGGCCGGAGCAGCAGCTCAGCAAGTGGTGGATCAGGCCACAGAGGCGGGGCAGAAAGGTCTGGTGGGGCTGGAGGGAGGCGGGCAACCCCAGCACACCTCCCACTGCCCCGCCCCACCCCGGCCCGGGGCCCAGGCACATCCTCTCCTATGCAGAGCCCTCTGTGCACAATGCCCCAAGCAGGTCCCTTGGGAGACCCGGGCCAGGCTAAACCTACATGCACTGGTTCCCGGGGCCCTGCCTGACCTGCCCTCTCTCCTGCCCTTCCTCAGCCATGGACCAGCTGGCCAAGACCACCCAGGAAACCATCGACAAGACTGCTAGCCAGGCCTCTGACACCTTCTCTGGGATCGGGAAAAAATTCGGCCTCCTGAAATAACAGCAGGGAGACCTGGGTGACCCCCCTCCAGGCGCCATCCAGCAGAGCCTGGCCCAGACCTCTGGGCATCCGCCACCTCCTCGGTCTGCCCCCTCATTAAAATTCACGTTCCCACCCTGTGTTCACTTCATGACTCCTCGCAAGCTGGGCCCAGTCCTCCCATCCCAAGAGCAGAGCCACCATAGCTGAAGTCCTAGCTTCCCAAATTCGGAAATCCAAGCCAACTGTCTCAGGAATGTTTCCCATCCCGCCACTCGCCTCCCGACGCTCCCAGACCAGAGGCTCAGCCCCCATCTCTGTTACTGCCCCTCCCCCGCCCGACTCTGGAGCCAGCCCCCGCCCCTTATTCCCTGCCCCAGGATCCTGGCCCTTCCTGGGAGTCGGACTGGACTCGGTCCTCAGATCCTCGGAAGGCTCAGCTCTGGGCGGGGCAAGGAGCCCTGCAAGGGCGGGGGCCTCGGGAACTTCTCTCTGCCAGCTGGGACTAGGGGCTGGGAACAGGGGAGACGACCCAGGGCCACGGCCCCTCGGGACTTCAGGCGGCCGGAGGTCGTGGGGGCGAAGCCGAGTCGCGAGCCGGGCTTCCGGCCCGCGCTACCCCGTCTGGGCCCGCGGGTTGCCCGCGCGCCCGTCCCACCCAGCGGTGAGTCATGGGGCAGGGCCCGCGGGACGCTTTGTTGAGTGTGGCGCTGCCGCCCGGCGGGGTCCCGCCCTGACACTCCCCGGGGAGGGGCTTCGGGGCACTGGGCCGTGCACGTGAGAACGAAGCACGGGGGGGCCGTGCACGTGCGCTCCTGCGCCAGCGTGCAGGAGACCCCCCTCCCTTCCACACCGCTTCCCTTCGGTACAAACCGGTAATCTCCGGCCCTGGACGGTTTTGTTGGGCGGGTCCCGGATGGAATGGGGTTCCCAACATCCCCTGGCACTTCACGCGCGCGGCCCCGGTACGGAGTATGCCCTGCCGGTAGGTGACTCAACGTGGCACTGGTTGAGCGCCGGATGAGGCCCGGCCCTGGGGTGGGGCGCAGGCTGCTGCGGCCCCTTCCTCCCAAAGCCCGTTACGCCCCAGCGGTCCCCTAGCGGTTCTTGTCCACCCGCTCCACGTCCTTACCCTGGCACTACCTCCACCCGCAATCGCCTCCTCTCCGGACTGCGCGCCCGTGGGCTTTGCGTTTCAGTTCAAAGGTACCTACTAGCGGTGCTTTCCAGTTCTGGGGAGATTCAGCCAGCGGACTCGAGGCGCGCTCCCTGCCTTCTCTGGCCTCCCAGCAGGGGACGATGTCCCCAATCTGGCTGCCAGCCCAGGTGCTGCAGTGCAGGTCTGCGTAGGAGGTCGTTCCCTTCTCCAGTCTGAGATCTCCGGCGCGGAGCACGGGTCTCTCACCCTCACCCCAGGGCTGCCACAGTTGCACGACCGGTTACTTGTTGCTGACTGTCCCCAAAAGGTTTCTTTGTAAAATGTGGGAAAGTCCTTGAAGAGACACCTGGAGCAGTGTCGGGGTCGCTTCCAGGAGCCCCCGCCTCCAGGAGCAGGTCCCAGGGCCTGGAGAGCGCGCCTCGGGGCCACTCCAGGAGGCTGGTGGGGCTGGACTGGCAGAGCCCGGCATCCTTCTGGTGTGCATCATTCCCATGTGACGCAGGGATGAATCCCAAGGGACTTTTCACCTATTCTCTTTGTGAGTGAGCCGCTTAAGCTGACCCAGGTGCGGCCAAGGAGAGAGGTGAGGCGTGAGGCCAGAGGTCTTCTAGAAAAGACTTTCCTTGCCTTGAAGGCAGGGCATGGTGGCTCAGCCTGTAATCCCAGCACTTTGGGAGGCCGAGATGGGAGAATGGCTTGAGCCCGGGAGGTCGAGGGCGGCTGCACTCAGTCTGGGCAACAGAATGAGACACTGTCTCAGGAAAACACACACACACACACACACACACACACACACACACACACACACAAGCCGCCCTTCGTCTTCCACTGGACATCTTGTGGCAGGAAAGGATCCCTAGAACCAGCTACTTGCAACCGCAGGAGGAACAAGCCTGAGGAAAAGCCCACCTGCTGATTAGGGCAGAGCCTCCCAGACCTCCAGCCTGTTCCCACAACACCCTCTCCCTGTCCACCTCAGCCACCTTGACCTTCCCATCATGCTTCTGCTGCCTCGGTATCTTCACACCTGCTGCGTTTTCTGCTTGGCATACTCTCCATAAATCACCCTTGCCTATTGCTCTTCCAAACGTCAGGTCTCAGTGGCCTTGGGTGTGCGTGCACGCACACACACACGCACACACACACACACACGATGCATCAGGTCCCTAGTGACACATTCTCATACCCCCTGTACCTCTTTTTTACAGTCACAGTGAATTAATCCGTTGCCTTCATGTGTACTTCTCCATGGTGGTGGTTCATGGGGCTATAACCAGTCCTTTCTCCTTTTTAGTGTATGCCCAGTGCCTTCCGCGGTGCTCAGGCAGCACTGGCTAAATGAATGCATGGAGGACCATCCTTTTGTTCTCCTGCTGGATGACAGTGACTTCTCATTTTCAGGTTCACCATGGAGCCATTTCTGCAATGCAGCCCCTTCCACATTGCCCCAGCCCCATGGAGCTGGCACTCCCGTGGCACTGTGCAATTGCCTGTTCCTGTGTGCCTCTGCTCCCCCAACACTAGGAGCCCTGGAGGGCAGGGCCAGGTGGGACTTGGCTTTTGGACCATGTCTGGGACACGGAGGGTACACAGCCAGGGTCTCTGTAATAGGTCCCTTGCCTGATTGCAGGGCAAGTCCATACACCCAAAACACCGGTTTGCAGCAGAAGAAAGAGGTTTAATTGCAGGGCTGCCAGACAAGATGGGAGAAAACCTCAAATCTCTCTCCGAGAACTTTGGGGCTAGGTTTCGTAAGAGTTTTCGAACAGTCCAAAATGTGGAGATTTTTGATAGGTTCAAGAGTGCAGAGTGAAGTCATGGGGCCCGGGAGATGAAAAAACCGTGTTGTCATGCTGATTAAGTTCTTCTGGGCTGTTCGAACTGGTTGGGGTCACTTGTTTCACTGGAATTTGGAATCTTTTGAAAAACATTTTAGGTGGGGTGCTGTGGCTCACTCCTGTAGTCCCGGTACTTTGAAGGCCAAGGTGGGTGGATCATCTGACGTTAGGAGTTTGAGACCAGCCTGGCCACATAGTGAAACCGTGTCTCTACTAAAAATACAAAAATTAGCTGGGTGTGGTGGTGTGCACCTGTAATCTCAGCTACTCGGGAGGCTGAGGCAGGAGAATCGCTTGAACCTGGGAGGTGGAGGTTGCAGTGAGCCGAGATCGTGCCGCTGCACTCTAGCCTGGGTGACAGAGTGAGACTGTCTCGGGGAAAAAAAAAAAAAAACTGAAAAAACAAACAAAAAAACCGTTTAAAGCAATTCCTAAACAAAAGCCTATGTTTCTAACATCAGAAAGCCAAACTATAGGAACAGTGGGGATGCAGATGGTCAGTATCCAGTGCCATGGGAAGTTCCATAGAAGGAATTTAGTCAAAGTACAGCCTCATTAATGCTTAATTATAGCTGCTAATGCTTAATTATCACTATATTTCTGTGTAGAATGCTTGTTAACCCTGTGAGGACAGCTTCAGCAGAGGAACCCTTGGGAGCTTATACTGGCCAGGCTTGTCTCCACCAGGTTCATGGAGCAAGTGCAGCCCAGACTGGCTGAGGAGGAAGGACTGTGGCTACACTACACTTATTGGGTGTCAGTCAACTCTCCGGAGATCAGTTCTTCCATTAGCAGTGTCACAAATAGTTCCTAATTCTCCAAATTCCAGTTCCCCATCTAGCCCAGCACACAGTCACTAATATTACATTGTGGTTCCACTTACAAATAACTGCATTTTCGGGTGGAGGTGTTCCCTTAAACCATTCTTTCTGGACGGTGTTCCTTCTTCCCTCCTCTTCTTCATCCCCATTTTCAGTCCGTAGGACGAGCTGCTTTGTATTTAATCTCCCAAACATCTAGCCCTGGAGTTCTTAGCTTTGACCCCCATCAGACTACGCATGAGGCAGGGTGCAGATTCTTCCACTTTCACCTCCTCTCCCCTTCTCTCCCTCCCCCCTCCTTTTTAAAAAATGCTGTTTGTCCCATTTCTACACTGTGAAAGCACGTAGATTTCATTCCATTCCTTAGCCCTGAACCACACCTTTGTTTTTGTCTTGGATCTGCAATTGAAGATATTAAAAGCTGTTTGCCATTCCTGCGACTGAATATTTTCTGCTGTCTCTTGGTTGGTTAGAATTAGTCCTGCAGAGTCTTCTCTCTTTTTTTTTTTTTTTTTTTTTTTTTTTACAGAGTATCACTCCTGTTGCCCAGGCTGGAGCGCAATGGTACCGTCTCGGCTCACTGCAACCTCCGCCTCCCAGGTTCCAGTGATTCTCCTGCCTCAGCTTCCGGGATAGCTGGGATTACAGGTGCCTGCCACCACGCCCGGCTAATTTTTGTATTTTTAGCAGAGACGGGGTTTCACCATGTTGGCCAGGCTGGTCTCCAATGCCTGATCTTAGGTGATCCATCCACCTTAGCCTCCCTAAGTGCTGGAATTACAGGCATGAGCCACCGCGCCCAGCCCAGAGTCTTCTCAAGAATGAAATAGTTACAGATGATAAATGTTTACAGAGATAAGACATCTGGTACTTGAGTTAATAATTTTTATAGCTGGGTAATGGGTCCATGAGGGTTCATATATATATATTTTTTTGTTTTTGTTTTTGTTTTTTTTTGAGACAGAGTCTCGCTCTGTTGCCCGGGCTGAAGTGCACTGGCACGATGTTGGCTCACTGCAACCTCCGTCTCCTGGGTTCAGGCGATTCTCCTGTCTCAGCCTCCTGTCTCAGTGCATGCCTGTAGCTGGGATTACGGCATGCGCCACCATGCCTGGCTACTTTTTGCATTTTTGGTAGAGACAGGGTTTCACCATGTTAGCCAGGCTGGTCTCGAACTCCTGACCTCAGGTGATCCTCCCACCTCAGCCTCCTGAAGTGCTGGGATTACAGTCGGGAGCCACCGTGCCCGGCCCATTATATTCTATTTTTGTGTATGACATTTTCTATTTTTAAAAAGGTAAAAAAGTTAAAATAAAAATTTTTAAAAAAGAAGGACTTATGTGAACAGTATTCTGATTTTTAAATGTTTGGTTGGTATTGTTAGTCTGTAGCCTTTAGACTTTATCCCTGGCTGGGTTTGAGGTTTGTGGCTCCCTCTTCAGCTTGAGTATCTTCTAGGTGTGGCTGCACTGCCTTCTGGCATAGAAGGTTGAGCAGGCCCTACGTGTCTGATGCCCACTGAAATTTATTTTTTTAAATTTAAATTTAAATTTATTATTTATTTTGAGATGCTGCCCAGGCTGGTCTGTGTTGCCCAGGCCGGTCTCAAACTCTTGGCCTCAAGCAGTCCTCCTACCTTGACCTAACAAAGAGCTGGGATTACAGGTGTGAGCCGCTGCACCAGCCCCCTACTGGAATTTTTTTTTTTTTGTAGAGACAGGTAGGGTCTGCTTCTGTCACCCAGACTACAGTGCAGTGGCCTGATCATGGCTTCCTGCAGCCTCAAACTCATGGGCTCAAGCGATCCTCCTACCTCAGCCTCCCAAGTAGCTGGGATTACAGGTGTGTGCCACCACGCTCAGCTAATTAAAACAATTTTTTTTTGTAGAGATGGAGTCTCACCATGTTGTCCAGGCTGATGTCAAACTCCTGGGCTCAAGCGATCCTCCCTCCTTGGTCTCCCCACAGCACTGGGATTACAGGCGTGAGCCACTGTGTCCAGACTCCCACAGGAATTTCTAATAAGCAACATGATATTTCTGGCTTGCTCTCTTTCTTTATGTTTGAAGTACAATAATTTTTCTAGAGTTTGTCTCAGTGATTATTGTTCTGGTTCACTGTTCCCTGGTGTGCAGCTTGCCCTTTGAATACTAATTCAAGGCTGGGC